CAGCGGCGGCGGCGGCAGTGTTGATATGTCACATCCAGCGGCCGTGGCTGTTGCGTCTCTGTGTGGTGGTTGATGCGTTGTGGCCAGTTTGGGGAGGGAAGAGAAGGGGGCAAAAAGAAGAGAAAAAACCTTCGCCCCGCATTCGGGCGTAAATGCCTCGAGAGGAAGGGCGGGAAAAGGAACAGTCGAGCACAGGATGGCGGCATGAATGCCTTCCCACTTGGGTACCACCGACCTATCTACCTACCTAGGTACCTACCTACCTGCCTTGGGTATTAGGTAGGTATATAAGCAGAGATGCAACCCCCCCCCTCTTTCTCTTGTCTACTCTATCCAAGCACAAGAAGGACGGGAAACAAGTATACCTTTTGCTTAGGTATTCTTTCTTCGGCTCAAATTTAGGCAACTTGCGATACTACATCACTCTCTCTCTCTCTCTCTCTCACACACACACACACACACGTACACACACGTCGTTCACGATGCCCGAGGACTGTGGCTGCTCTGGCAGTGCCTCTGCCTGCAAATGCGGCCCAAGCTGTACGCTGTTTTTCCTTTGCTACTTCTTGTGTTTCTTTTTTTTTTTTTTTTTTTCCCTTGCAAAACCCGTCTTCTTTTCTGTCGGGATGATTACGAGAACTGATGGCTTTTCCTTTTGACAAACAAAAAAAAAATAGGCGCCTGCAAGTCTTGTGACAAGTGTAAATCTTGCGACAAGTGTAAACCACAGCAAACCTCGACATGATGGCATCCGCCTCCGTGCCCCCCCACCTTCTTCGCCCAACCAACAACAACCAACAACAGCAACGCGTGGCCATTTGATCTGTTTCTTGGCACGTATGACATGATTTCGCGAGGGCTCTTCACCAAAGACACAATTTGTTTCGCGATGCGGAGCGGAAGGACTGGTGAGGGAGGATTTGGTGGATGTTTGTCTTGACCGTCTAGAAAGACAAACACACAAGGGAAAAGGAAAACAGGAAAAAAAGAAATCATAACAGAAACAAGAAGGAGAAAAGGAAACAAAAAAGGGAGGGAAGTGGGATTTATAGAACGCTCGCTTTTACGACACGCTTGAGTACGGGGTGAGGAATGCAAAATGAATATATTCAGACAAGTCCTGTACCTGCGAGATGATGTGATGCGCTGTCGGGTAGGTCGGTTGGCCTTTGGACTCTGGGTAACATTAGCATGTGAGGGTGGATCCATGTGAGGCCCGAGGGTGCCCCGGGTGCCCGCGCTGCCCGCCAATCACGTCGCAGGCCTCCCTGTCGCAGGCTCTCACGTGGACGTGGATGCGAATGAACACCTGCGTGGGCCGCGGCTCGCTTCTGGCGCTCCAGCTCCAGCCCCAGCCCCTGGCAACCAGGCAGCACTGAGCAGGCAGCAGGCAAGCAGACAAGCAGGCAGAGGCAGCTCGTGGAATAGTTGCATCCATCGACCCAGAAGGTAGTCTGATGGCCTGGATGATTGCATCGCCCCGTCTCGCCCCGACCGAGTCTGTCTCGTCTCCTCCTGCCCGCCAAGGCCCACGACCCTCGACTCGCCCGCACATTCATCGCACCGGATTGCATCGCCAGAGATTGCATCGCACCAGATCGCACCATCCCAGACAGACGATTCCCGGTTCCCGAGGTCAGAGGCTGGGCCAAGTCGAGTCCGACGCAGGCTGCGAGCACTGAGCAGGACGGCAGCGTGCATGTTGCGTCTGCCAGCCACAAGCTGCGCGGCGGTCACGGCGGTCACCGTGGGCAGAAATCTTGATGGCTGCGATTGTGAGTATTCTGGCATTCTCATTCACAGGCTGCATGCTTTTATTCCTTGTCCCTGTGCCGCTACCCCCTCTGCTTCTGTCGCCCTGCTTCCGTTGCTGTGCTCCGGCGCCGTCTGGCTGCTTCGGCCGACAAGCATGTTGTTGCGGCGTTGGCATGTGATGTCACAGCACGCAACCCGCATCGAACCCGCATCGAACCCGCATCGAACCCGCATCGAACCCGCGTCAAACAACTCACCACCACCACCACCACCACCTCTCCTCCTCCCGTGTCTTGCGTCAGTCGCAACCCACTGTGCTTGAATGGGCACTCTCCATTTCATCCTCTCCCCAGCTAGCTTTGCTGTAACTAACGCTCGAGACGCTTGCGCATGAGTAGGATTCTCCCTGGATACTGCATCTAGACCTGCCCATGTCTTCACGCGACGACGCCTCTTCGTCCTCGACGCACGAGTCGCAGGGCACGACTGGGCTGCCCTCGACACACGCCAGCTTCTCGCCCGTCACCCTAACTGCCAACACCACGAGATCTGCTCGCCGCTCCAACATTCTCGTCCATCAGAAAAGCCCGCTGTTGCTCGCGACGCCGCCGCAAGTGACGCGCGCTCTTGCCTACAGCCACCCCTTCTTGTTACCCTTGAACAAATTCCTTGGCCTGCTGACATGGAGTACTGGTGATCCCTGGCAGAGCTTCTTGCTGCTCTCGGCGTTTTGGTTCATCGTGCTGTACGGAGACGTCGTGGTTCGAAGAGCGGGCCCCGTCGTGATTGGAATGGCCATCATTGCCGGCATGTATGGCCGGAGATATAGCCCTTTGAGCAGCAGCGGCTGGGCCGACCCGGCCCGACCACATAGAGATGCGTCCAACAACACCACCAGCTCAGCGTCCACGGCGGGTGCGCCGGGCGATCATGCAAATGGGAAAAAGGCTGTCAAGCACCAAAGGGCATCGTCCGAAGTCACAGCCACAAAACATCAGAAGACGCTGGACGAGATTATCGAGACACTCAAGGAGTTCACGGGACGGTGCAACGTCTTGATGGAGCCTCTTCTGGAAATGACCGACTTTCTCAGCACACAAAGAACACCAACAAGTGCAACCACCAAACCGGCTCTGACAGCCATGTTTGTACGGCTGCTGATCCTCACGCCGTTCTGGCTGGCTCTCACCATGCCGCCCTTGCACGTCATCACCACACGCCGCGTGGTCTTGGTCTTTGGCACAGTCATCCTGACGTGGCACGCTCGACCCATGAGAGTCACGAGAACCTTGCTGTGGAGGAGCTCCCTCATCCGGCGATCCGCTGCCGCCATTACCGGTTTGCATTTCCACAGTCCTGCCAAGCCCGGGGGCCACAAGCTCGCAGCGGAGGCCGCCAAGGGACAGGCCCAGACGGTCAGCGAATCTGGACACAAGGGGGGGCGGAAAAGAAGCTCAGGGGTCAAGTTTACCTTCATCATATACGAAAACCAGCGACGCTGGGTTGGTTTGGGATGGACGGCCAGTCTCTTTGCCTATGAACGACCCGCATGGACAGACGAGCACAACAACGCCGTCCCTTCCAAGGACGAATTCGAGCTTCCAGATGTCGAAGACGGCAGTAAGATGCGGTGGCAATGGGCAGAAGGAAGTCGATGGAGGGTTGATGGAGTGGCCGATGACAAGGAACCCGCTGATTACGATGGCGAGGAAGGCCGGAATGGATGGATTTATTATGACAACAAGGTAGGTCAGACAAGGGGTACCCGCCAGTGGGTCTCTTTATTCATCTTTTCCTTCTCTTCCCCCTCCACGTCGATCCCACCACTAAGATAAGACGAAACGCAGTGGCAATACGGTCGGCGTGGCCAAGATGGCTGGGCCAAATGGACACGACGCCGAAAATGGTACCGCGATGCCGAGCTCGTGGAGATAGAGGAAGACCCGATGGACGTGCCACAACAAGCAGAAGAAAACGGGTCGCCCACGTCGCCCATAACGGCTCACAAGACGACTCATACCACCGCAAGCGAAAAATCGGTGCCCGCGCAGCCCGATGCCCATCACCTTGCAGCGGCCTTCAGCGACCAGCCGGCCACCGACGACGACGGGGCCTCGATCCTCTCCACGTCGACGTCCAAATCATCCTCCTCCTTTTGGCCGTCATCGCTGCGAAGAAGGACGGGCGACAGAGACAGATCCCGCACGAGTGCGGAAAAGGATCACCCACCAAGGTCGTCTGCCCTCAGCGAGGCGGTGCCCGAGGACGATGCCACGGTCCTGGATCTGGAAACGGAGCTGGAGCTGCAGAAGGAGGGCAAGGACGGTGGCGGTCGGTGGGGGATAGGGGACGATGCGCGGATGAATCTGGAGTGAGGGATGATGATGACGGACTTTGCAATGCCGTATTCCGAGTCATGTGGCACGTATATATATCTGTGTGCGAGTGCGAGTGCGAGTGCGAGTGCGTGTGCGTGTGCGTGTGCGTGTGCGTGTGCGTGTGCGTGTGCGTGGGCGTGTGCGTGTGTCTTTTCCTGTACATGTAATTTCCTTTTCTGTTTTCAAAAACATGGGTCTGCGGACGGAAGAAGAAAAGAATGGAAACATGTGCGTGCCTAGATAAAATGTGGCCATTTGCTGGGCCGTGAGACTCGAGAAGCACGTTTTGGGGTCGGTGGTGGGATGGGATGGATGGTCACCACAATACTGGGTACCTAGGTATTAGGTAGGTAGGTACCTAGCTTGCTCGATGACTTCCAAATGGACGAAAAACAAGATCATCACAACAACACACAACACACAACACACTCGTGGGGGGCGAACACCCCTCGCCAGACCGCGAGGCCAAGCAACGACAGCAGCGCCGGCCCAGGCAGCCAGGCCCGTTGGGTATGTCTCCCTCTGGGGGGGCCCAGCAAGATGGTTTCGTCGTGGTCGTCGTGGTCGTCGCCGTTGTCGGTGTGAGGGCGCTTTTGGGCTTCATGCTGGTGACGGAGGGTGCATCATGCGGGTTTATTTGGTGCTAGAGGCGGGTCCTTCTTCTTCTTCTTCTTCTTCTTCTTCTTCTTCTCCCTTTCCCGCCTTCCTGTTTTCTCTTCTCCTTCTCCTTCTTCCTTTTTATTTATTTATTTATTTATTTGGGTTTCCAATGTTTTTTTTGTCGCTCTCTCTGCAGGCAGTGTAACATGCGGGACTGCCATTCTATGGATGCGGCTCATATTGGCAAATAACTCCCATGCGAAACATGGCAGAATGGCCGAGTGGTCTATGGCGACGGTCTCAAGCACATTTTCTATGTACTTTCGCATCCGAAAAGGAGCGTTCCGTTCACGAAAGTGGCCGGGGTTCGAATCCCCGTTCTGTCAACCAATGTTGATTTCTTTTTTTTTTTCAGCGACTCGCGGTCAGCGATATGACATCCTGCCTGCGATACCCTGCCTGCCCCGCGGTCAATTCTCTCGTCGTCCGTGGACGTGGACGGTTCCACAGCCTCCCGTTCGAGCTCCCGCTCGGATTGTTTGTTCGACGCCCGGTTGTGCTGCGGGGGGCACGGCAGCTTGCGTGTACGCTGTGGTGTGAGTCGTGACTGATTACATTACACGACGATGGGAGCATTTTGGGCCCCCCGGTCACCCTTTTGAAGGAGAAGCACCCGGGCTGTGTGCGCGTCCGTGATTCAGATTTCCCCATCTGGGCATCCCGCACTCGCCGCCATGAGCGCCATGAGCGCCATGAGCGCCCTGAGCGCCCGTCGGCTTCGGTCGAACGACAATCACGGCGACGCTTCACAGCGTTGGCGGTGGCCAAGGCGTCTGTCTGTCTGTCTGTCTGTCTGTCTGTCTTCTTGTCTTCTTGTCTTCTTCACATGCCGCCGGCCACGCCTCGTGGCATCCAATGCAGTTGGCCGCACGTGCAGGAGCAGCTGCGTCTGGACGGACGAGTCAAATCGGCAGATGGCTGCGTGCAGCACGCAAGGCTCATTGCTTCAACACCGACTACCTACGGGTAGTAGGTTCTGGACGTAGGTCGTGACTCGTGAGTGTCCATTGTCCACCGTCCGCCGTCTGTCTGGCAAGTGTCGTGGGGGGCAATACACATGTAGGGCGCGACATCACCACCCCGTCACGCTTCTGCGTCGTCAGTCAGTCTTTACATCAATTTGGGGCGCACGTTTTGCCCTCGACTCTCTCTCACTCTCCCTCACTCTCTCTCTTCCCAGCAAGGTTTCGCAGTCTCGAGTTTCTTCTTTTTTTTTTTCTCCATCCTTGCCCGTGTTTTTTGGAATCCATTATTAGTGACCCCGCCAAGCCTTTTTTTTTTTTTTTTT